CATTACTAACATTTCACTCCATGGTGGGTGGGATAATGACTAAAATGAAAAGAGAATTCCATGAGATGTATACTAAACTATTTGGTTAAATGCTCTTATTAATCAATACTTAATCAAGTGACAGAAAAATTCAAGATAAATACGACCCCATTTGGCTACTCACTGTAATTAAAATTAAAAAAAAAATGAAAACAATTCTGGCAAAAATTAATTAAAAAACGTCTTAAGACAATAGTGTACATAATATATCTTAATTACAAAAGCAATTGAAAGCTTTTTAATTAAATAATGTTTTAGTGTTAGTACATTTTTTATTTTACGAATCGGAGGAGATTTTCAGTAACTAAGAGTGAGGCTTTACAAAAAGACAAAAGAAATTGATGATTCAAATTCTCCAAGGAATTCTGCGTATAAATAATATAAACTTTAAGCGGTACAAAAATTAATTTCCCGCTATATATATATATATATAATCCGGGTGGATTCTAGTAATAATAATTATTAAACCTGATCCACAGAGACCTCGATGTTTTGATTTTAACACAGCATATGTATTTTTTTTTTTTACAGCAAAAGCAAAAATGACCTAAGTACTTGTTCTCGGAGCGTTTATTTATGTCGGCTGACAAAAGCTGTTAAAGGACCGTTTGAAATAGTCTATTCCGATGTTGAGGTATTTTTTGCTTTTTTTGCTGTAATATATATATATATATATATATATATATATATATATATATATATATATATGTGTGTGTGTGTGTGTGTGTGTGTACAAAATTAATTTCTCTAAATTTCAGAAAATTAAATAAGTGTGTGTGTGTGTGGGGGGGTAACAGATGTAAATAAATGTATTTTATCAAGAATTTCGAAAGAAGAAACATTTCTAAAATAATTTCATTCATTTCTGAATAAGTCCTGAAAGTTTTATTTACATCCGACAATTATTTGATTTTTGCAAGAATTATTTAACCAATGCGTTTTTACCGCCAAAATGACGCTAAAATTTACGATACTAATATTTAGTCCCCCCTCCCGCTGACGCAAGAAAAGCATGGTTTTAACTAAAATTTGTAACGTTCTAAAAAGGGTCAAAAATTATAATTGAATAATCCAAAAATCCTTTGGTCTTTCCTCTTAATAACAATAAAACTTTGTTCGTCCTTGGTAAGACAATAAACTACATCCGCGTCCTGGGTAAGACGATACACTACATCCGCGTCCTGGGTAAGACGATACACTACATCCAACTGTAATGCCTTTGATCAGGTGGTTTTGAGGAGCGTGAAACCACTTCTTAATTACTGGTGTTCCCAGGTCCACCCTGACACGGGGTGGTAGCACCTGTTAAGGTCCCAGCTATCGGCATATAGGTAACCCCCAAACTGGCGTCAACACGTGTAAAAGAAAAAAAAAGAAGGTTTTTAATACCAGCAATACATTAGGAGTAATAGACAGAGGCTCGGATTGAGGAATCGGAGAGCCGAGTTCGAATTCCAGACGAATCCATTACATTCACTTACGTGCCAATATCCTTGGGAAAGGTCTGACTTCTCTTCTTCTTTCCCTAGCTATGGGTAAAATAGCAGGACAGACCAGGTTCTATAGCCTTGAGTAGCAACTGGTCTACCGCAGAAAGAAATGGCAACCTACTACGGGAAGAATCTGCCTCGTCAGTCATGTATCGAAAGATACATGATCGCCTAAGCGTGTATCACGCATGGCACATAACTGACTGAATACATTTTTGTAAAAAAAATATTACCAGCAATAAATTTTTGAAGAAAAAATTATTACCAGCAACACATTACCAGCAATACATTTTTTGGAAAAAATATTACCAGAAATACTTTAAAAAATTTTTTTTTACCAGCAATAAAAATTTTGTTAGCGTTAAATAACCCATAGAGGTTGGTATGCCATAAACCAAACCAAACCGAACCAAAACAAAACTTTGTTTTTTTTTTAATTTGGGACATTTTTTTTCTTCATGTATGGTAACTTTTAGTGAATCTCTTTCGACGCCTATTTAAAACAATGGAATAATTATTTTAAATAAGAAGTACAATGGTTCAAGAGGTGAACGAAATGATCCATACAAGTTTGTTTCCTCTTTTCTTTTTCTATTTTTTAATTTCATTTGTCGCCTCCGTTTTTGAAAATCCTTCCTCAACCTGTAAGTAACAACTTGATTTACTGTCGACCGTCTTCAGATAGGCACCAAAAGATCCATCTTTCAATTTTTTTTCTTTTTCCGCGGGCAACCATACTAACACCGCGTTGCTCTTCCGGCTTTCATTCCCGGTCCTCCCACTCATGCTAGGGACGGGTGGGAGGTTGACGATATTAAGAAATGAGCGCCATTTTTGTTTTTTTTGTTTTTGTTTTCTGAATACACCACCGCCACCATAACCATTGACAAAAATGCTGCATGTGGCTTTGGAATTAACGACGGAATAGTAGAGATGATTCGGCCCCTGGTCTGTTTCACCCAACTCTGTGCCGCCGACCGTCCCTGAGATATTTAGATCTCCCACTGTTTTACGGCGATCTGTCATTTCCTCAGAGTTGGCGAAGGGTAGAAGTAATACGTTCTGGTGGGTTACCCGAATGAATAGAGGCAAAGGGCATTAGTGTGAGCGTGGAGAAATATTTCCTTTGCTATCAGACTCGGGACGAAGGTTCTTAAAAAAATACAAGAAAACCGACTCGGGGCTGCTTGAAGCAAGGGAAGAAAAGAGGGAAGCAGGAAGTCGAGTCAGCTCAACGGAAGCATTTATACGTAACTGTCATCCATAAACGATATAACAGAGACGCTGTTATGTGGACAAATAGCGTTAAAAAAAAGAAGTCTTAGAAGAGTTTAAGAATATTTAAAAAAAAATAATAATAGGAAAACGCACATAAGTTGGCTTGGGAAGAGTGACACCTGACTTAAGGTTGAGCACACACACACACACACACACACACACACACACACACACACACACACACACACACACACACACACACACACACACACACATATATATATATATATATATATATATATACTAATGTTCACCTAATACAATATCCAAGAGCCGCTTAAGTTTGAGGGCCATTGTGTAGAGTTGCATAAGATTAGCGTAAAATTTTTTTACACAAATCTTTTTATAAAAAGAAAACTATAACTCATGTCAAATCGACATTCTTATCTCCTTCAAAGATAGAAACATTTAAAAAAAAATCATAAGCCAAAAATAAATATGATTTCAAAATCTAAAATAATATTATGGATTACTTGTAATTGCATGCAGGAGTCCCAGTATAAATAGTTATAAATAATTTTGACAAATTTTATCATAGTGATATCTTTGCATTATATCAAGCATTAAGAATATAGTAACTAGAGTTCGCAAATTGGAGGAGAGAGTTATCAATGATAATGTCCTGATTTTGAATCCATGGTTTTCTTCCTTTAACTCTATCTGTTTTTTTTTTTATTTTAAAATGTACTTCTGACACATAAAATTTGGTGAAGCATAAGCAAATTTTTATTCCGAATATTATTGATAAGTATATGATAGACTACTATTACTACTAATAATAATAATTAGGAGGGCCCATGTAAATTAAACGAATTTACTAATACATCTTTTAATGCTGCACTTTGTATTTTGCAAACCATGACCATTTCCAGATCATTATAAGAAAAGTGATATAGTCTCTGTTAAAATTACTGAAATATTATCAAAAGATCGTTAGATCACAGAATAGGATTTAACATCTCAGTAGAAACAACTGCCTATCTACGATGACCCCCCCACCTCCGATCCATCTCCGCTTTTTACCTCTTTAGCTTCTCTCTCTCTCTCTTTCTTTCTTTCTTTCTTATTTACTCTCTATGTCGCACTCTTTTTTTGTTTCCTTCCTGGGTTTACTAGGATTAGCGTGCCACACACCTTACATGAATAGGTACAAGCTTATATATATATATATATATATATATATATATATATATATATAGGTAACTATACTCGTTTCGAAAAACCTTCGAATTTTTGATTTGCCAATAATCAAATCAATCTCGAAGGAAAAAAAGTTTTAAAAAAAGAAAGAGCTAGAAACATGAAAGTGTCGAAAAAAATCGCACAGATACAGGTTTAAAACTCAAAGAAAAAAAAAACCGACACGAGTAAACAACTAACTAACTAAAAGATCTCAATACAACCGTAGAGCAGACCTAGATAAACCTAGCGAGCAAGACAAAACTAAGCTTAGGTGAAACCTGCGTAGGTTTGTCTGGCTCGCTAGGTTTATCTATCTATCTATCTATCTATCTATCTATATATATATATATATATATATATATATATATATAGACAATATAAGAGTGTTATTGATAGTCTTTAGTTGTATATTTGAGATAAGCATTGTGATATTGGTTTGTTAAAAGGAAAATAATTTTGATATATCGTCATGATAATAATAATACTACTAATAATAAGCACGTATACTGAAAAATTGTGTTGATTCGAAATGCAAATTCTGTTATAAATATCCAGAAACAATTGACCATCTTGTATCAGGCTGCACAGTACTAGCGTCAACTGAATATAAAATTCGGCTTGATAGAGTGGGTCATTATCTGCACTGGAAAATATGCAACTATTACAGGAAGGAAACTGCAAGAAACTGGTATGAACCTGACCCTGACCCGGTTACGGGGATAGGGCCTGTGATAATATTATGGGACTTTACAATACACCCAGACAAAACAAACGAAGCTAATCGCCCAGACATCGTGATCAAAGACCACAGGAACAGAATGTTCTTTTTCAAAAGAATTGCCTGCTAGAAACAGGAAAGAGGATCAATAGTCAGAAAAAAAATTAGATCTGGAATTAAAAGGTCTCTCAATTTAAGAGACGAAAGAGAATTAGCCAAAAGGGTTTTTACTGACAGGAAGCAAACAATGGCTTCTTTGTTGAGGCTTTCTTGGGCAACAAACCCTGAAGCGAATGGGAATTCCAGACGATATTTTTTTGTTCAATAAGATTCTTGTGTAAAGAAAAACGTTTTAGAAAGGACGGAAAAATGCCAGTGTTCCATTTTTGTGTTATATATATATATATATATATATATATATATATATATATAAAAAGAAAGAACAGTAATCGGGTGTTCTTATAGATATTTTTATTTTTACAAAATAGTGCTCAATGTATATTTACAGAGCATTAATATTATAAATTAATTGATTTAAAATATGTTTTTTTTTCGCTACGCAGTTCCAACCATGTTTCAAAAATAGAAGCTGAAAACCCCGAATTTACCCCGAAAAAAAACCCCAAAAAAAACCCCGAAAATCTTTAAATTTTAAAAAATGACGTTGAAATTTTTTACCGTTGAAATTTTTTTTTTTTTTAAAAATCCAGACGACATCCATTCAACTGATGTCAGGTTTCATTGTAAAATATATCCCTACCCCTTACCAAATTGTAGCTAATAACTGATACAATGATACTGACATAAGGAAAATCTAGACATCCCTTTTAAGTAGAATATTCTGTAACCATGGAAACGTGATTTTAGCTGTGTCTTTAAAAACCCGGTAATTTTTAAAAGTTACTCCAAAATTCGCTTGAAGATGAAATGAAACTAATGCTTTTAACTTAATTGCAAAATTAAATTCGGGGTTTTTAGCTTCTATTTTTGAAACATGGTTGGAACTGTGTAGCGAAAAAAAACCATATTTTAAATCAATTAATTTATAATATATATATATATATATATATTGAAATTTCTCGAACATTCAGGCCGGTAAATGCAATTAATACTGTTTAATTATAAAAACAGAGCATTTGCTTAAATAAATTATATCTATAAAAATAACGTATAAAAAGAAAATATATTAAAATAATTGTTGGACATAATCCATTTAATGAAATGTTGTCATTGTTTACGTTAAGATACGTTTCGTGAGCAGAAATGATCGATCGAGAAAAATCGTCGAAGCTGTGTGTTTATAAACAGTAATTCGGACTTTGCTAACCAGACTATTCTCTGTGGCTGAGTGGACGAATGACGGTTTCCATTAAGGTTACAGGTTCGATTCCAGTCGGAGAGCGCATATTTTCTACGAAATTTCTCAAACATTCATTAAAAAACAGAGCATTTCTATCTATAAAAATAACGTATAAACAGAAAATCTTACTTATTATAAAACGCAGATTGTGTGTGTGTGTGTGTCTGTACGTTTATATATTGGATCGGATTTCCTACATTTTTCAACCGATTTCAACAAAACTTCACAGGACTGCGTAAAATTACCTTGCGGTGGTTCTGACAGCGCCAAAAATGGGAAAAACACAATTGTTTTTGCACGAAATCAATTTGAAAACACGATAAAAAACGATTCTGTCGCCAGAATGAAAGGGGACAACTCATATCGAGTTATACTTATTATAAAACCCAGGTTGTGTGTGTGTGTGTGTGTGTGTGTGTGTGTTCGTTTATATATGGGATCGGATTTCCTACATTTTTCAACCGATTTCAACAAAACCCCACTTTTTTTTTGGCAGGTAGTGTTTCTTATTGCCTTGCACACTTTTTCTTTATTTTTACATTCAGAATGCTTTAAAAATTCCATTTACAAGACAATTGTTTATGATAAAATTCTATTCAATCGGTAGACTCATAACGATTGAAAACAATGTTTTTGTTTGAGTTTGACCAATTCGTAAAAACCCCCAAAAAACAAAAAAAAAAAAAACTAATTAAGACATGTGTGTCCATCAACCTTAAACAATAATCTTTGTCAATTTTATTTTTCAGTCTTTATGATGATCGATACTTGATCTATCTCTTATTGTTACATCCCCGGGCAACGCTGGCTCTACTGCTAATATATATATATATATATATATATATATATATATATATATATATATATATATATATATATAGGAAAGCTTAGCACTCACGGGAGATAATGACGGCAAGACAATCGAGAGGAAACATTGAGTAACATTATTAGCGAATGAGACATTTGAAATTTCTGAGACACATAATAGGGAAAGGGGGTCTGGAAAACTTAACACTCACGGGAGATAAAGACGGCAAGTCTATCGAGAGGAAAGACTGAGCAACCTTATTAAAAAGGAATTATCATAAAAAAGAATTCATATTTACTAAAATTCATACCCAATTCTCCTAGAGCGAGCCTCTTCCATTGCACTCTGGCTGGGTTGACCTTTGTGACTGCCCCAAATTTGGGTGTCTTGGGTACGCTATTTCTAAGTGTGGGGTCTACGTTCGCGCTCACCTCGGTAAACAAGCTAAAAACAGATTTTTTTTCTTCTTTTTCTAAATTGTAAAATATTCCTTGTAAGTACATCGAATATCATCCACACTTTGCGATAAGTAACTTTACATTATTTGGGGTGAATTAACAGAATAGATCCCAAGAGTGTTGATGTTGTGGAGTGCCATAAACTTCCACGTTCTAATGCGCTGTAGGAAATAAATGAAGTACATTTCAAATATCGAGTCATCTAAAATCTTCCCGAATCTTTGATATATCCCTTAAAAAAGAAAAGAAAAGTCACTTATCAACGAACAAGCAAAACGGACAAAAGGAATCTTGCACATCAAAAGTCAAAGTTCTTTATGGCAGAAATTAATGTCGACAAAGCAAAGATAGAAACAGAATAAACATGGCGGAAGAATAATAAAAATAAACCGGAAGATATAATCCACGTAGATTCTCTTGTCTTCGCTTCTTTCTTACGATCTTCACTTCCGTTTTGATTTTTATCGCCATTTTTACTGTTGTAATTCCTGTTGTCCATGTCGCCGAAATCTTTATGGCAAGACATTAAACAAATAGAAGATCAATAAATACATTCTTCTGTACATTTCTTCTTTTTCTTATTCTTCTTCTTCTTCTTCTTCTTCTTCTTCTTCTTCTTCTTCTTATCATTATTATTATTATTATTATTATTATTATCCACCTCTTCCTCCTCTTCTTTCTCTTTTTCTTCTTCTTTTTCTTATTATCCACCTCTTCTTCTTGTCCTCTTCCTTCTTATCTTACTCTTATAGCTTTTATTTCTTATTATACTCTCCCTTCTCCTGATTCCCATCACCCTCGTCCATCCATTTGTTCTTCTTCCTCATACTTTTTATCCACCTCCTCCTCCTCCTCCTTCTTCTTCTTCTTCTTATTATTATTATTATCCACCCCTTCCCACTCTCCTCTTCTTATTATCCACCTCTTCTTCTTCTTCTTCTTCTTCTTATTATTATTATTATACACCTCTTCCTCCCCTTCTTCGTTTTCTTATTATTATTATCCACCACTTCTTCTTCCTATTATACTCCTCCTTCCCCTAATTCCCATCACCTTCCTCAATTCACATGCTCTTCTTCCTCATACTTTTTATCCTCCTCCTCCTCCTCCTCCTTCTTCTTCTTCTTCTTCTTCTTCTTCTTCTTCACTAAACGTTTATGCAAATACATGTTTATTATTAGTGAGCCCTTTTTTTCTTTTTCTTAGCTTCCATCAGCATGGCTGATGCTAACCACCAGGATAGTGACTCTTTTCGCTATCTCGGGCTAACGTTATCTGCTGACATAAAGTGAAAGGTTTATATGGAATGAATTGCTAGATCTGCTGCTAGCAAGAAAAGTTGGTTCACACTGCTAAAATCAATCTTACACATTTATAAGTCTATCTCGTCTGGTGCCTCTGATATGTATTTAGAGAGTCTTGATAAAATACAAAAAAAAAAAAAATGCAATGTTATTTGACCTGACTTATTGTTCTATTTTCTTAATAGTGTTTTTTCTTCTGCTCATATATATATATATATATATATATATATATATATATATATATATATATATATATATATATATATATATATAATTTATTTATTTTAGTATATTAAAACATGTTAAAAATCGCTACAATTATGTTTCGACACCTAAATGTGTCTCGTCAGGCGATGTTAAACTACTGGCGAGTGAAAGATTAATTTAATTGAAAAAAAGCAGAATACTTTTTTAAAAATAGACTTGTAGGCTTTGCCGTGATTAACCAATGAAATGTGACCTACGTTAAATTCAAATTCACCGGAAATTTTTTTTTAATATGGGTAATGACACAGCATAGTATAAATCCAGCACCCATGAAGACTGGAAAATTTACTAAGAAACATCAATGTCGGGATAAAATTGATATTTAAAAGTTAAGTAATCTTCCCCCCATATATATATATATATATATATATATATATATATATATATATATATATATATATATATATATATATGTTTTGAAATAATAAATATATTGAAAAATTAAAAATTAAAATTTTCAGACACACTGGGTTGTATATTAATATTTTTTTTGTTTTCTTATTTCAATTAGATTCGTCGACTAGTTTCGGCCAGCATGGCCATCATCAGTGGAAAAAAAAACTCCTGATTGTTAGTAATGGTGAACTACAGGAATGAATGACTTTCTGAAGAAAATGAACTTTACCTGTAGTTTTCATTTGTTTTTTATTTTTTTTATCGTTAATTTTGTTCAGTTCTTGTGTTGGTCAAACGGCCTCTTTTAAGTTGTTTTTAAGACAAAATCAAAAACAGTACGCATGTACAAATTTAAAAGTATAAAATGGCGACAATTTATCCATATATATATATATATATATATATTTATACACGTTTCATTAAATAATATAGACAAGTGTTGTCTATTTATTTTATGTAAAATTTTTTCGTATCTTCTGATAAGTTTGATAACATTATCATTAACCGAAAAAAGAAATTCACAATATTTATCCATTATTTTTTAATATAATCTAAGCTTTCGGCTTACTCAAGCCATTATCAAAGATGTAATTACAAACATATCAAACAATATACGGACACGACAGTGATGATAGTCTGTCATTGTTTAGTTTACATAGTGGATCACTAAGCAACGATGAACACGCGCATATAAGACGCTAGAAGCGAAAATCGCACCGCATCTCATGACGTCACACATAACTACACGAGAGTGAATTGGAGAATGAAATAAGGAAAGCCGTTGGTATAAACCAATGGCTTCTGTTACCAATTATAGAAATTATAGACATTTAAGAATATTTGTAGAGATTCCATAGTTTAGGTTGGGTTTTAACTGTTTGATGTATAATGCGGTGCGATTTTCGCTTCTAGCGTCTTATATGCGCGTGTTCATCGTTGCTTAGTGATCCACTATGTAAACTAAACAATGACAGACTATCATCACTGTCGTGTCCGTATATTGTTTGATATGTTTGTAATTACATCTTTGATAATGGCTTGAGTAAGCCGAAAGCTTAGATTATATTAAAAAATGATAAATATTGTGAATTTTTTTTCGGTTAATGATAATGTTATCAAACTTATCAGAAGATACGAAAATTTTTACATAAAATAAATAGACAACAAAATATTATTTAATGAAACGTGTATAAATGAAAATATGCTGCCTAAATACACACAATATATATATATATATATATATATATATATATATATATATATATATATATATATAAGCACAACCCTATTATCCTTACCTTCCATTTCTAATTTAGATCATTCTATGGTACTTCCTCCCACTCCCTCTGTCAACTTACATCAATCTAAAACTATCCCTCAAAGCTTGTATTAAAAATAAGATAAAAACATGTAAATTTGTAAACTAAATTCCTTTGTAACTAGAGATGTGACCTGATGGACCAGATAAATTTATTGTCTGGGGTATAAATTATAGTCATGGAACATTAGGTTATCTGTTTTTTAATTTGATATATATATATATATATATATATATATATATATATATATATAAAGAAAGAACAGTAAGATATAAAATCCGGTGTTCTTATAGATATTTTTATTTTTACAAAATAGTGCTCAATGTAAATTTACAGATCATTATTATAATTAATTGATTTAAAATATGGTTTTAAACCATATTTTAAATCAATTAATTTATATATATATATATATATATATATATATATATATATATATATATATACTTAAATAATTGTTTCTATAACAATAATGTATAAACAGAAATTATATTAAAATAATTGTTGGACTTAGTTCATTTTTATATATATATATATATATATATATATATATATATATATATATATATATACATATATATATCAGGTAGGTGTTTATGCCAAAAATCTCCCTGTAAAAAGAATTTCAAAATTTCAGTTTTGTTTCTTTCACTTGAAACTGATCTTTACATCTTCAATGTGATTCTTTCAACAATGATTGATTTCCTTTATTCATTACATTGAATTCATTTTCAAACTGATTCTATCTCTCTTGGGTCTGATAAGGACCACTAAAGCCAACTCCGAACGGCGACAATCTGTTTCATGTTTGAACGCAATCTTCAGGTCTATTGGCGTTCGGTGTTGTCCTCAGTGTCCACTTTTATATTTAAATATGTTCTATCTTTGATACTGAGCATTTTAAACCATACCCATAGCTTAACTTAGACCATAACAGGAGGTTTTGAATTTAACCTTTTTCATTTAGATTTTTTTTTATAGTCATGCATGTTATCTTGCCAAAGAAGTATTTCTTTTAGGAAAGGAGATATTTGCGAAAAAATCCCAAAAGCGACTTTATATTTTGGTAAGATTCGATAGCGGCACCCTCAAATTCAACTCATATACATAAATTAATCGTAAACTAACATGTTACAAATAATAATTACGTTATAAAAAAAAAAGAATTAACAACATTTGCCTACTTTTATTTATTAGATATTAAATTACATCACTTAGCATCTTCCATAATTTTCCTTGACATACAGTTATCCTGATGTATATTTATATGACAGTTCTTAGATTTAAAAATTCTAAAAAAAAAAAACAATTACTTCTATTTTTAAATATTTGTTGCAAAATAGGAGACATGGTGAAATAATGGATAGTGGCTTGGTTAAGGAATCAGAGAGCTGTGTTCGAATTCCAGTCGAATCCATTACATTCACTTATGTGCTAACACTCTTGGGAAAGGTATGAATCCTCTTCTTCTCCCCCACCATGCTATGGGTAAATAGCAGGACACACCGGATTCTGTAGCGTTGGGTGGCAACTAGTCTACTGCAGAAAGAAATGGCAACCTGGTGCAGGAAAAACAATCTGCCTAGTCTTCATGTATCGATAGATACATGATCGCTAAAGCGTGTATCACGCATGACATATAACTGACCGAGATCTGATGAATTGAGTCGTAATTACAATTGCAATGTAATAAATTATAACTATGAAATATTAGCGTTTGAGCCTTTTATATTATATTTTTACTCTGTCTTTGACATAGAGTTATACCTGGATTTTATCCTCTTGAAAATATATATATATATATATATATATATATATATATATATACATATATATATATATATATATATATACAGGTATGTCTCACGCTACGTCGTTAATTGGTTCCAGAGGCCACAACTTAGGTTGAAAAAACGACTTAAGTCGAAATAACCACACTATAAACCCAAATAAGCACTCCCCATTGCCTATTACTGTATTTATGATATGTACGTACAGTATTCTGAATGAAATAATTGAAAATAATTAAGAAATAATTTTTAATTTACGTAAAGTCGAGTAAAATGACGTAAGGCGAGTTTTTTTTTTACGAAAAACCGACGTGTATTCGAAAATGTCATAAGTCGAAACGAAATGTATTACTGTGTTTATATATATATATATATATAGTCAGCCACAGACAGATTGTTGCGCAGCTCATCAGTGGGCTAGACACCCGATTGCCACAAGCCGGGCTCGAAACCCGACTGATTTGGTTTCACTCGGAGAATCTAGCACTAATACATTGTCATATGGCAAGAATGAAAGCGAATTTAGACGTATTTATTTTTAGATAAACACACCAGTGACTGAAGAAGTCGATTCGTCTCTGTATATATATATATATATATATATATATATATATATATATATATATAATATAAATATATATATAATTAATCAAATATATAATTTAATTAATCAAATATATAAATGTATGGACCCTTGTATTCTACTATTATATATATATATATATATATATATATATATATATATATATATATATATATAATAACAGTAGAATACAAGGGTCCATACATTTATATATTTGATTAACTGATAGCGAAGTGAGTTAGCGAGGTCTTGGCTTAGCCACTCTTCCGTAACGAGCTTACAGCCTCAGGAAAGTAGCAAGCGAAAATGCCAGATCAATAGTTTGTTTTGACAAGGTATCGTCATCTGTCTGGCTTCTATGTTCTTTGACACTTATATGAATTCGTGAGTGTATCAAGGAATGGATTTGATCATATTAAGTGTTAAGCGTAAAGAACTCGCTTCACAGCCAGATGCTTCACTTGAAATGAACACAACAGGACTCCGAACGAGCTCTGTCCGGAAAGAATCCAGCCTTTTACTTTCGACGAAAAAAAAGGCCTGCCTAGGGCAGTGGTACTTTATTCTCTTTTAAAGTAGTCTCTCTTTCTTTTAAAAGAAACTAAAGTACCATCAGCATAGGCTGTTCACGCTTATCCCTGCACTTTCCAAAACCGTGTGCAATCTCTTTTTTCGGGAAGCCCATCGGCTATAACGCCAGAGTCAGTCAGTTATGTGCCATGCGGGATACATGCTTAGGCGATCATGTATCTTTCGATACATGACTGAAGAGGCGGATTTTTCCCGCAGTAGGTTGCCATTTCTTTCTGCGGTAGACCAGTTGCTATCCAAGTCTATAGAACCCAGTTTGTCCTGTTATTTCCCCATAGCTGGGGTGGGTGGAGAAGAAGAGGATTCATACCTTTCCCAAGTGTATTAGCACGTAAGTGAATGTAATGGACTCAACTGGAATTCGAACTCGGCTCTCCGATTCCTCAATCTATCTATTACTCAATTTTGTCCTTAATCTCGTCCTTGCTCTGAAGTCGCCCCTTTTTCTAATTCGAATCTAGCTATTAGCTTTGGGTAAATCTGAAAGAACTATGGAACCAAGAGTAACAGACATGTGTGGTGCGACGTTTTTGCAAAAAAATAAAATAAATAAATCACTGATTTCTTTGATTGCAGCACGTATGCTTTCAACGTTTTGGGATATTCTGCTTCCTGAAGACCTTCCAGATTTCTTACCAATTCCGAAGCATCGGTATCAAAGGTGTATATATCTGGGTTTCTCTTCCCAAAGTTTCCTCAATCATTCAAACACCGAATTTCTCATTGCAACAAGCATGTTATTAACATTTACGAATGCTCTGCTCGTTGAAGGCCTTCCAGAACTTGTGTCGTACACAAGTTCACGTAACAGCGGGGAACTGCCGATTGAGTAAACCCACGGGAGAATTTCTTTTCGCGCATGCTCAATAAGTTCCCCAGTATGGTAGACAAGTTACATCAAGGCCACGCAAACGACTTTCGATATATCCAAAATGGCTGCAAACTTCGTATGCAAAACCATTCGGATGTGTGTATCTCCGTGTATGTGTTATTGATTGCAAACATGTGCATTTTTTACATGAATATATATATATTTATGTTTTTAAAACTGTATATCCAAATGGTTCGATTATTTTGTTATGGAACCGGAAAAGTGGTCGACACTCCTGCGTAAAAAAATGTTATGGCGTCGTGAATGAAAAGCGAGGTGAATGTAATGTATTCAGCCAGGCGTTACTGGCTTAAATTTACCTAGCCATCTCAGCAAAACCATCAGCTATTACAACAACGCCGCTTGCACACATCTTATTCCAAATGACTAAATTCTCCCGTTCCTATTTCAATGCTGCTCCACCCCAATTTTCCCATGCTGAATTCCTCGGTATTTTATTAGCGGGGAGAAAATAAAATGGTCGATTTGTCTCCGCAGACCATTCATGTGTTTACCACCTATATTGGCGCCTTTCCATATCAACCC